GAACAATTTATTGGTAACATTTCCTGTCTCTGTCAATTCTTATTTTGCAGTTCATCCAGTGGCATATCAACTAATCGTGCATTTAAGCAAATGCAATTTTAAACACAGGAATGCTGCTTCTGAATAAAGACTCAGAGCATGAATCCATTTTCCTATTAATACTTTATGAAAGTCAGGCATCTCAGAAGGCTATCTTCAATAAAAGAAGTAGTTTCAGGATAGGCAGGATTTGCTTATGACCAGTCTGAGGTAGCAATGGTCCTAAGCAATCAATTTCCTTTCTCTATCCTAATTTGCCCTTATACATCATATTCAAGATTTTATCTGGACAGGGGCTGGTTGGCTCAGTGGATAAACCTCTGCCTTTTCACCTCTGGGATCATGGTTCAAGTCATACCCTGATGAAATGCACTTGATCGTCCTAATCTAGTTCCTAGTGGACAGTATTCCCATTATCTTTAAAAGGGTCAGAGCCAAGGCCATTGGGAAGAGTGCATTGTGCTATATCTTGTCTGTTGATTAATACATTTTCAGTGACGCCAGATCTTTAATCTTCATAAGCATAAATATTCTCACAAAAATCTTAATAGAGGTCCCTTGCGGACTATATCATTCTGCTCAATTTGTGTATCATTTCAGGATTTCCTGGGAATACACCCATTCCCGCCCAAATGTATTGCTGGAAATTTAAAAGTATGTTTGCCTGTACTGTTTGCAATAACATCTCTAGGTTAAGTAGCATGATAACACATCACTTTAAATTTTGTTTTCTCAGAGGGAAAACAAGACCTTTAACTCAATCTGTACTTAAAGCACATTATAATTTTCTTCTCATACCATATCAGTTGAGGCTGAACACACACAGAATAAAGGGAATTTATTCTGTGAAGGGAAATTGAGTCAGAACATACTCTCCGTAAGAGTTCACTGTTTGTCCTTTATACCAAGAGAGCTGCTGCACAATTGAAGTAACAAACAGAAACACTTCCATTCAATGAAAATCCAAGTTTGGGATCACTGGGCTTTTCAGCATAACACTCTTAGCTCTGGTTTGGCATGAATGCTGGTACACCTCCAGGGCCCTCTGAACCCTCTGGTGATCCTGGAGCTGTGTGCAGCAGCACCCTTGGGAGTAATCCTTCTGCCCTGAGCAGCCCAAACTGTCCATCTGCGGACGGACATGGGCTCTGTGTTTCTGTGGGAGGTGGGGCCTGTGGGGCTGGGGCAGCAGGACCAGGACCAGCAGGGACAGCAGGATGCAGGACCACCAGAACAAGCACAGCCTATTAGTCACCAGCTTCCACAAAGATCAATAGGAAAAGGAGATCATGATCTTAGCAAGAATATCATCAGGTTGGACTCCTAAGGCAATTAATTCACTGATCACTTTTAGTACACAGTTGTGGTCCATATCCTAAGAACAGTGCATTAGCTTCCAACTGGATTGATTCTTTAATACAGATCATAGAAAGGACAGGAATGTAGGTACCATTCCTCACCTCTAATTGCAGTTAAAGATTATAAAATGATTCCTGATGATTAAATCGTTCCTCTGTAGTCATTACAGGTTTTTTACATTCTTACTATATATTTATTTAATTGACTACTGAAGAAATACAATTTAGCTTGTGGTTCTTTGGTATAAGTCAATAACCTGATAATATTTTTTTCATTACATAATTACTCTTGGCTTGCTTTTCTTTTAATTGTTTTGAAATTAACAGGGAACTCCTTTTGAAAAAAAAAAAAAACAACAAAATACGTAGAGCCTGATCTATCACAAACAATTAAAGCATCTGCAAAAAAGTTAGGTTTATTCAAAAACCCCCTGCCCCTCTTCTGGAAGTACCGGCATGGCTGATTTTTATCACTTAAGGGCTGGAAATCCAAAGCTACAGCTGTGTTTTGTTTGAATGACATGCTAATGAGCCAGTGTGAGCTCAGCAGTGTGGGCAGCCCCACAGACCCCATGGGAAATCCATGCAGGGCTCCAGGGCACTCTCTGCACCTACTGGGCAGGTGTGAAAACCCTCATTTGTCCACCACTCCAAAATGAGAACCCTCATTTGTCCACCACTCCAAACTGAGAAGCCTCATTTGTCCTTTTCCAGCACCCATGGGCAAGCCCCAGAGCAGGATGACACCACAGAACCGATCGGCACAGTCTGGCTGTGTGCTACCATCCAGGTCAGAAATGCTGAGCTTTTGCTAACTGAAAACAACAACTGGGCGATGCCAAGGTGGAACTCTGCATGCTGCACCCCCTCCTGCCCACCTCTCTCAGTGCTCCCCTGCAACATCCTCCCCATGCACCTGCACAGGACAGCTCTGAGTGGTTATGGACTCACACTCTGCTCTGTTGGATGGACCACAACTCCAACGTACAAATCAGAACATAGGAATTAAATAATAAAACACTTCTGCATTATTGCAACTGCTGTTTTCCAATAGGCTTTATCTTTTTTCCTACCACCAGAGAACTGGGTAAATCTGGGTGCTCTTTCTGAAATACAATGATACACAACAGTTATTGCACTCTGGGGTAATCAATATAGGTAATTGCTAAGCTAACTTTGGAATAAGCTACAGCTAAGTCTGAATAAGCTACAGATTGGTTTGGGAAAATTAGACCCGACAGATTACAGTATGCATTTCAAACGGAATTTCTATTAAACAGGTGATTTGTATCTATATCAGATTTTTCATAAAAAATAATCATTTTTATAAATATATATTATGATTCTTTTTGTTGATTACAACGTAAAAAGGAAAGAATAACTGTGTAAGGACAATGAAAAAGTAGCCTGTTGATAATAAATATTTGTCAGGTCTTGTCACATCTGTATACATTCCAATGCTACTGAAGAGACACGGCACTGATAAAAAAATACCCTTTGAAAAATCAATGGATTTTGAGCTAAAGCAGTTGCTAAACACACAGAAAACATCTTTATCCAACAGCCCCAGTGCTGTGAAAATTCCCAAGCCTTGCATTGGTACAGCTAAGGAAAATTTAATCTTCCCAAATACTCATCAGGGCACTCCATCCTGCAGACCTGACAGCCCCACTTATAATTAATTATACAATTTCGATGGGAATATCGACTGCACAAAGCTATAAATCATAGAAAAAGTCAATAGGCATGGACACATTCAATCATGTCCCGACCAATGATTACTACTCTTAAAATACAATAATTATTTTCAGGAGCCAGCTTGAATTAAATTTCTGTCAGGCCGGTACAAGACCGGCGGTTGATGAAGGATGCGATGGATTTTTTGGGTTGAATTCGGCGCAGAGACATTTATCGTTTTAGATAGGTAGTTTGTTTTTAGTGATCATGGTGCTGCGTGTTTAACTAGACCATGAAGATTAGATTATCTCCAATGGCTCATTATATCGTTTATCTCTTTCTTCCATGTTTGATCTGGAAGATTTCCCACTTCTTGATGCATGAAAGGAATGACTACTGATTTTGAAATGGAATATGTTTAAGTGGGATTCTGCCTGTACCTTCACACCCCACAGCCCTGTATGCAAATCAAGCAGCAGTCATCCAAAATACCACTAGGACAAGGCAAACAAGCACCAAGAACAGCTTTACACAGCTTCAGGAATGCACTGGGGGAAAACACAAATGACAAATACTTTGTCAGTTGTTTAAAAAAAAGCACTGGAAGAGTTACTATAATTATATGCATAGAGGAAAAATCTGAGACAGGAACGCGATTAATATGGGGAAAGGAATTGGGAGGAGACTTATTGCTTTGAGTTAAACGTCCCCCTAACTGCAAACCATCAGTGAAAGAAACATTAGGCATTTCCCGAGGATGCATTCACCTTGTAAATTGAAACCAAAGAACCCAAACTGATCTGACAGTGACTGCATTTGAAGGTACCACAGAGGCCACATGAGCCACGCTGTGGGACAGCAGCAGGGACTGGGAATCAGAGCTTCAGACCCCCTCGTGGGTCTTACTCATCAAACTCTTCTGACCTCAGAGAATGAGTGAAATCTCAGATTCTCACATGGAATCAATCTCCCAGGTGAAGCCAACTTAAAATCAGAGAGGGCACCAGGGCTTCAGCTGCCCTCCACGTCCTAGGGCCCTGCAGAGAGCCCTCCAACAGCCTGGCTCTCTGTGAGCAGCGAGAGAATGAGCTGTAGGCGGGGGACAAGAGGAGAGGGGTGGAGAGCCATGGATCCTGTGCACAACCCATCCCCAGGCAGCAAGCAGCAATGTGCCCTGTGAGTGGGCACACTGCGGGACGGATAGAGTGCAGCTAAACTGGGAACTGGGGACCCTTTATGTGTTCCCTAGGATACATAACTCCCAGGAACCCTGGATGAAATGGAGAAAGCTGCAAGCTGTGATACACAGCTTTTCCAAAATGAAGCGGCCACCACTTGAAATAAAATCACATTAAAGAAAATACAATGGCCCTCTCCACAGAAAAATCACAGTCCTTATTACAAATCAGAGTGATAGTGTCCCCTGTCTGCTTAATCCTCTTGGGAAGCCCTGTATGCTTTTCCACATAGTGACAGTCTGCTGCAGAGCTTGAGATTGCTATTCTGTTTACTCTTGTGTTTCGAGTATATTTTTGTACAGTTAGAAGACCCAGGTATTTTCAGAAGGACTTTGCATTTAAGGGCTTTTCCTAAGTTACTGTGTGATGCACAATGAGGAGCTAGGAAGAAAAACAGGGTGCTTGAAGAAATGCAGACTAGAGGACAGACGAGAAAAGTGAATTGTTGTGTACATTCAGTTTACAATATATTTGTATAAAAAAAGAAGGTAAACATGCCAAAGTTAAGAATCTGTACACAAAATAACTGGCTAAGTGGTGAGGAAATCTGGAACAGTTATTGTGTTGGTTGAATTATCTCTTCTCATTCTGCAGACAGGAGGGGTGATAAGCATAAAGGGCTGGTTAGAGAGATGCAATTTGTATGTGAATTCCCAACTTCTTTGAAAGGGTTTAGCAATGAACTTACCGCAGTGCCATTGTTGTCTCTAAATACATCTTGATTAAAATAGTCAAAGAGCTTCTTTTCTAATTGCAGCATAACCTAAATAAAAAAAAAAATAGGGAGAAAGGTCAGCAAAGCTCTTGGACTCAGCAACTCAACACCCAGTTGCTGGCAGTGACCCTTTCAGAGACATGCAGCCCTTTAAAACCACACATTTCCACATGTCCAAAGCCCCTTGTCAGCTTGCCCATTTGCTTGGCTGGCAATCACTTAAACAGATCCAATTAACTGAGCATTAGGTGTGACAATCTATATCCTCCCCTCCCTTTACATTATCAGTTTGGAACAACTATATTCATGCTTTGTAGAAAGGAAAGTGAACATTCAACACTGTTTCTATTTACATAGGGGTGCCAAGGGCATTAAGTTGTTTACCTTTCGGTCATTATCAGATTCACGAAATATTAGCTTGACTACTTCATTTGTGTCAGCTGCCCGGATGGTCTGCATTGTGGCCTTTGCACATAGTGTCTAAGAAAAACATAAGGGAAAAAAGGGAAACAAGCTTATATGCAACAGAAGACCCGATTTAACTGAACATTATGAATAGATGTATCTTCAATGCCCCCCCATCAACTATAATTTGCTGTAGGTCAAAATACAAAGCATTGCTAATTTAAGTCACTTCCACTTATGATGGACTTGAAACAATAAACTGAATTACCACTTGAAGAGAAACAGGCAATATTAAGAAAATATCAATCAGGAAAGGCAAATAGTCATTCAGCTTGTACCATGTAGACAGGTTCTTTCACAGGTATCACTGTATGCTGTATCACACATTACTTGCAAATATCCTCCAAACCACTGCTTACAGATAATGACCAGGTTTTGTGCTGGTTCTTAAGAGCTGATAACTACATTGACTCTACAGTTCTGTGAGTTAACCCTTGTTTGCACAAACATCTGCCCTGTAAATTCATGTTACAAGTACATTTTGCAAGTTGGAGAAATGCTTACACAATCTGACGGCAATTTTCACAGTTTACTTTGCATAGCAAATTCCCTCTTTTAACTAAGAGACACCGTGTCCCTAGATATTCTGAGGACTGAGTGCCTAAAACATATTATGAACCAACATTTTATCAGGCATAGATGAACACAGATGAACAACATTGTATCGGGCACAGTATGAATTTCCACGAATGTGTTGGGCCTTGATGCACTGGCCACTGGCCTGGCTGGGGCCCAGTTCCACAGGTAGTGGGGAATAACATGAAATGGGCTACTCAAAGGGTTGGCTCCCCTGCATGGAAACAGGTAAAAATCTAGAGCTTTTAGCAAAGCAGTTAGCGAAGCTTTAAGTATGTGAAGTGCTTTGAACTGGAGGCATCTCCATCTTAACTGGGCACACTTCACTGAGTGCTCTGCAGCCTCCCTGCCTGGGCAAGGCTGCTGGCTGTTGTGCAGAGCTACCCTCTGCCTGACTGCTGGGAACCACAAGGAAAAAGCCAGAAAGCAGAATTGAGGAAATTGTTCAAACTGGGCATTGTTCAAAGGCACAGATATGTCCCCACACCTGGGAGGCAACTCAGCATCCATGGCTGCTGCTGAGGCACACACTGCTGACAGGATCTGTGCACAGCCGTGGATATGGATATGGCAAAGACCATCCTTCTGAATGAAACCTTCTTTTCCTAGAGGCTCTTAGGGAAAGTGTTTTTTGTTAAAGAAAGTAACTGAGTCAAGGAGAGGCAACGAGGTGACTTCCCTGCTCTGCTCACCCAATTTCTTTTCGTAATAACCAGACAAAAGGTTTTAATTTTGTATAATGTCAATTTGTAAAATAAATATGTTCTGTGGTATAGACTTTCACATCCTACTACATGCTTCTATCTCTCACAGACAGAAATACTTATATTTGGATTCATTATCAGAGGTGCATTGTCTACTAGACACAACACCATGAACTACAGCTCACTTCTCCTTTCCCCAGTCTTGCCTTCTGAAGGCAGAATTCATGCCTAAAATGTATTTAAGCAAAAATCCATCTGCTTCCAAATAATTAAGATCTCAGCTGAGGATCTCGGTGCCAGAATGGGAACAATCTGCCAATGGACATTTTGCTCCCAAATGATAAAAATGTGATCCTTGATAAAGGTCCTTGCCTATTGGCACAGTAGAAATAAAAAGCAGCAAGTTGAGTGCTTTCATTTTTAACAAGTAACTTGAATGGGATTTGGTAAAAACCCACAAATCTGTTATTTTTCTTACAAGTTTGTGAATGAAACAGGTGTTGATTCCCCATCTCACTGAAAAAAAAGTGTCCATTTCTGACAAACTTTTCCTGACTGTTTCCTCCCTCCCCAAAAGCAGCGCCAAATCCATCTAACTCTGGGTTTACCCTAGAACACTCCGCACACTGATCACAGGTTCCACTGGCAGAAGGAGCGCTGGCCCCACAGGCACGGGCTGCTCTGCGAGGACTCCGCAGGACTGTCGGGTGGTTTGTGAGGGCTCGGGAGAAGAGCGGTAGGATGCTGGTGAAACGCTGCCCTGCACCTGCGGGGGCTGTACCTGTTCCCTCGCAGCCAGGGCAGCCGCAGACCCTCTGTGTGCCCCTGCACCTGCGGGGGCTGTACCTGCTCCCTCGCAGCCAGGGCAGCCGCAGACCCTCTGTGTGCCCCTGCACCTGCGGGGGCTGTACCGGTTCCCTCGCAGCCAGGGCAGCCGCAGACCCTCTGTGTGCCCGGACCCGCGGGATGCCATCCCTGCCCGCGGGAGCCAGCGGGGGAAGCCAGCAGCGAGCCATTCCCAGCAGCGAGCATTCCCAACCTCGCTCCCTCCACGCGGGCCATTGAAATTCAGAGCACAGATCAGATAATCGGGTCAAGCCCAAAAAAAGAGGCTTTGGGCTCATGTGTCACAAATCAGTCTGGTCCCTTCAAACAGCACACCAGATTAGAACAAGCACCCGAACAAACCAGAGCGGAAAACCTGCAGCTCTCTAAAGCTGGTTTCTAAAGCTCTAACAAATCGCTCCATCTTTCACTCATTTAAACTTTCCAAATGAGGGTCAATACGGTCCCCGAGCATCCAAATGCTAATGCGCTTAAGTGCGCTTAAGCAGCTTTCCAGAGTGAATGGGCCAAAGAAGGGCTCGAAAAGACACGGCAGAGTTACTGTCACTGTCAAAAAGTCATTGTAGCCACCCCCAGAGTGGTTGCAATTCAACAAATTCATGATTTCTGTCTCTTAAAGGCATCTGCTTGAGAACATTTTTTTCCCTGAGCTGCTTTATCTCACAACGTCAGGCTGGCTCCAAAAGAAAAACCCTGCGATCGACTCTTGAGAACCAATACAGAGAAAGGACCCACATACCTTATTGCTTTCAAATTTCACACACACAAAAAGTTACCTTATTCACAGACAAAAGTGATTGGGCAAAGGTTCATTTCTTATACAAGCTGGAGGCACTCCTTTTTTCCTCCTCCTTTCAATTTCTGCACAGTCGTAGTCACCCAAGCAGAAAACTTTCAGGACCATGTGCCTTTTTAGACAAGCCTGCTTATGAAGGGATTTTTTGTTGCTAGCAAAGAAAATCAAAATGCTATGAAAATTCACTCTTCCTTGCTGGGTATTCCCTCAAAGGTATATTTTTACAAGGGCAGAAGAGGTGAAATCAGATATCATAACTCTACATAACTTCTTTTTTTAAAAAAACTTCTTTTTTTTTCTTTTTTCTTTTTTTTTTTTTTTTTTTTTTTAATTTGGAAACAAGATTTGGTTAAAAAGCTTGCAGGAAGGCTGTATTCAGAGCTGAGATAGAGCTCAGTAGCCAGCCTTTCCCTAGCAAACACAGTCATATCTCATTCCTGTTTTCCCATACTATACACAGGTAGATGCTTTGTAGAACTTTTGAAATAGCCCTTTGTGATAACTTATGTGTACTGAATTGCAAAACATAGTAACAACTTTCCTGACAACGGCCTTAGAATGTAATAACAACATCCTGCTACACAAAGCTAGGAGGAAATGTTTTTTATATCTACAAGAGACAAATCTGGAACTTCTAGACTTGGTAATTCTCAGAATTACGCTGTTGATTTACAGCATAATGCACCTTCTGCTCCCCCATAAACACCACAAATCAAAGTGTTTAAGACTGCATTTCTTCATATTAGAGTAAATAGGGATACAGGCATTAAAACAATTGTTACATACATAAAAAACACAACAGTCTACAAAATACACTTTATATCATGTTTATATGGGAACACTGTGAGCAGCTGTGGACTGCACTGCTGCTTCCTGCTTGGCTGGAAACTGCAGCTGATTTTTCACTGATTCCACACTCCCGCTTTCTGAACATCCTTTAGGCTCTGAATCCACCTCCTGATGTGTGAGCTATTACATGCTTGTAAGTCCCTAAATAATTTTTAGGGGGTCGGAGGGAAACCCCCCAAATGAGGGTATTTAAACACCCACAGACTCAGCCTGTCCTATTGCATTTGTCCACTGATGTTAAAGATGTGCATTATTGTTCTCTATTATTTGAATACTCTACTTAGGACTTATTATTACTTTGAATTCTTCTAAAAAAAAAGGAGAGAAAATAGAATATATACGTTGTTCCTTTACAATTAAAAAAGTTCAGCAATAGCTGCCATTGGAATTTGCAGCAAGCTGCATAGATTGACACAGATGTGCTCATGGCTGTGAGTGCTAGGAGAGAAGTGCAGAGTCTGAAGATTCCTGACAGGAGCTCAGTGAAATAAGGTCTTGACCACATGAGCAACCAAATCAACTAAATTTAAGATACTTATTTTTTTTCCAGTTAAATACTCTGTGGATTCTGGAATGACAGGAAAGACAGACATACATGTATCATCTAATTATGAAAGTGAGTACTTCTGAAATGGTGCTCCAGACCCAAAATCAATCTGGCACTTATTAAACTAGGATAATATTTAAAAAAATATTATTATAATCTGGACATAAATTGTATTTTAAATAATCAGTGAGGTAAAAAATTTGCTACTTTAGGAATAACAGAAGCATCTGTCTTGTTTGGGCTCCTCCATACCTTTGAGGAGATGACATGATTTCCCGGATATTGGGAATACAACAGCAGTGAATTCCCCAAATCAAATTACATCAGATAATTAAAATTTGCAAGTGAGAAAAACAAAGTTACATGTAACTTTCTGAGTCAATGAAAGCTGTACATTTAGCTACAGGACAGATAACACCGTGCTTTTTAAACTGCACTTTCCCATTGAAATGGAGGCTTATTATAGCCGATTTTTCACAGCCACAGAGGTTTTTGGCTTCACAGCTACTGCAAAAATCAAGGGCATCCCAGGGCTCAATCTCCAGGGTACAGGAACCAAACCCTATCTGAGATGACATAAACTTCTATTGAAAAAAATATTCTTTAGACTATATATTACCTTGTGTTAACTTTAACTGTGTGCAAATAGCAATAATATCCCAGAACAGCTACTACACTTTCCAGCAGCAGGAACTGA